TATATTTCCATTTGGTTTCATATTCCTTGTACCTGAAGAACTGCCTTCAATATTTCTTATAATGAGTGCCAGCTAGTGATAAAATTTTCAACTATTGTATTTCTAAGAGTTTATTTTGCCTTTGTTTTTGAAATATATGTTCACAGGATATAGAATTTTAGGTCCATATTTATGCTTTCTCTCTCCTTTATCTCTTTCTTTCCTTCAATAGTTTACAAATGCTTGCCATACTTTCTTCTATCTCATGCCTTATTTCCAATCCAATCTGTTGTGATTCTTATCATTGTTCTTCTGTATTTATGTTTTCCCTCAAATCTTCTCTCTCAGTGCTTTCAGAATGTTCTCTTTATTACCACTTTTGAATCATTTAATTGTAACATACCTTGATGTAGTTTTCTCACATTTCTTGTGCGTGGGCGTCAATAAACTTCTAAGATCTATGGACCATAGTTTTCATCAAACTTCAAAAACTGATCACATGTGTGTTAGTCTTGGACATTTTTATCAAAAGATTTTTGTGTTCATAAAATATGTCAGGCACCTACTACTCATTCATTTATTGAACAAATATTTCTTGAATAATTGCTGCACACTGGGAACTCTTGGAATCACTAGGAATACAACAGTCAACAAGAAAGCAGAAGTCCCTGCCCTCATGAAGATTACATACCATATGAGAGAGACAGATTACAAAAAATGGGTAAATAATGTGTTAAAAATCAAAAACTGCTGTAGGGGAAAATTAAGGTATTAATAATGTGACATTTGAATAGACACTTGAAACAAGGATATAAGCCATAAATGGGGCATGGAGAATTATTTTAGATAAATGGAAGAAAATACAAAAGCAATGAGATGGGAGCAAGCCAATTAATATTTTTCAAGGATTTCAAGAATGCCACAGTGCCTGTAGTTGAGTCAGTGGGAGATGAACCCATTTAGTTAGTGTGGTCCCAACTATGTGTAGGTCATTATACAAATGTTAACTTTTACTTTGAGAAAAATGGGAATCCATTGCAGAATTTTTGAGAAGAAAAGTACATGATCTTTCTTATGTTTAAAACACTCAGTTCACAGCTTTTGGGAGGATATACTATAAAGGAAAAATGATGTATATAAGCAGATAAGTAGGGAGGTTAGTATAACAATCCAGATGATAGATGATGGGGCTTAGACAAGATTGGTAAAAATGAATGGATGAGACATAGATTCTGGTCACGTGTTTAAAGCAGAGAAAAAAAATTTGCTTGTGGAGCGGATGTAGAGTATAAGAAAAACACAGAAGTAAAAGGGTCGTTGTTTGTGACATGAGTGGTTTAAATAAAGTAGCTAACATAGAGTGAGAAAGTATGCAAAAAGGGTACATTGTGACATTATGACTGGGATTTCTATTCAGTATTAATTTGAGATGTCAGATATATAGTTGGTTATAAGAGTCTAGAGTTAAAACAATGAAACTTGATGATGTCTCATCTGGACAAGATCATAAGGAGTGATATAGATAAATAAAAGAAGAGGTCTGAAGATCTGTCTCAAATGAGTAGAAAAGTCCAAACACATTGTGAGAGTTTTTCATGTGTTATTTTGTGGTCATTAATAGTATTTTAATATGTCGCTTGAGATTGTATTAACAATACATCAAAGTTGATTCAGAAGATACCAAAGAAATAAGTTGACATTTTAGATATCTATGCTTTCGTCAGGAATTATTTTTGTTCGCAGCTGCACTGTGTATGTGTCATGCACTACATTTAGATTTTGGACACCTGGCAGTGTTGTTGGCTGAATATCAAGTGTGAGAGTTTTTGTTAACTTGTGACTCATCAAGATATTTCTGATTAAATGTGGTCTTTTAAGAAAAGATCTTGCCTTTCTTCATGACTGAAGTCATGTTATCTGGGTTTTCATTACCCAGATAGGTCACAGAACAAGATAAATAATTCTGGCAGATGAATGAAAATTGAAGCATCATTTAATTTTAATAAATGTTTTCTAAATCATATACACATACAATAACACCTGTTGTAATAAGCAAGCCTCTTTATATCATAATAAGGACATAGAAATAGAGAGAGAAGATTTTTAAAGTTTCCGGCAGTCTTCAAGTTACACAATCGCTTTAAAAGAGGAAACACACCAACAAACTCCATCATTTTGTTGGTATGTCTGAAATATGCCCAACAAAGACCTCTTTTTTCTCAATTCACTTGACCTGAACTCTATATACCTATCAAAGTATCACACAATTTCAGAAGAGCAACATTTACATTATTGTCTAAGTAGATGGAGACACTGGGAGAATTACTTACAAGTAGATAAAAAAAAAATTTAAAGAAAGTACATGGGCATTAATGTTTAAAATGAAAAGTAATAATATTAACTAGTAAGAGATGACTACAGGAATAAGGATAATTAGCCACAATACTCTTTTTTACTACATTTGATTTATCTTTCTATGTCAGTACCTCTCAAAGTGTTGTCTCTGAACCACACTATTAATATGACCTGGAAACTTCTTAGAAATAAGATTTTCAACCTTACCCAAGACCTGCTGAATCAACAACTCTGAGGGTGGGGACCAGCAATCTGTGTTTTGCAAGTCCTTTAAATGAATCTGGTTTACATTAAAGTTTAAGAACCATTGATCTATATCAAGCATGTAATAATAATAATATCATCTAGTATTAAACCTATATGTACTAGACACTCCATTAGGTACCTCACATATATTTTTAATTTTATAACTTTTCAATGTAGCTATTTTTATTCCACTTTAACAATGAGAAAATTAAGGCACACAGAGGTTAAAATAAACATTTTAAAATTGTTTCAATATTCTGAAAATAGTGATGTTATTCTAAAGTGCTTTAACTTTCATGGGGAAAATGATAAATGAGCTTCAAATCTCCAAAAGATAAGAAAATCAGTAGTATTTGATAATGCTAATATATTCTCAGAAGGACTTTTCTGGGCTGTGAAATTTTTGTAATCAAGTGTCAACTTAATTCAATGATATGTAGTTCTAAAGGACACTATTAAAATTAAAAGTCAAACTGAAGTAATGTATAAAAATCAGAAGCCAATAGAAATAATATTTGCTTGACATGATTATCTTTGCAGTTAAAGAAAAGAAAACTAAAGGAAATGAAAATACATTAACAAATCTATCAGGAACAAAAAAAATCACAGACTTTTTCAGCATTTTTTTAAATTTTCAGACAAGCATATTAGATGCAAATTAACTTTTACTTGGAAAGAGTGCATAAAGAAAAATTGTAAGATTGTGCACTTACAAAAGAACCCTCACTTGGAAGAGAACCAGAGAAAATGGAGACATAGAATGTCTATTGCATCTAAAAATGCTGCAAACATTCCAAAATATTTTTTGTTCCAATTTATTAATGTCAGTATTCGACTTGATCTTATACCACATAATCCCTTTCAAAAAGGCAACATTGTTATAAAGTTTCTGCCTGTGACATATTTCCATTCCACAGCTAATTTACCCCTGGAAGGAGCAGAGTTTAAAATGTGCTAATGTAACTACAACTGCAGGGCAGCTCTTTGGAGACAATAATTTATTTGAGTCATAAATATATTTACTTTTGTGACTTATTTTCCAAAATAATAATAAGAAATCATCATTAGGGGTTTCTCCACTCACCAACTGCTACTAAAAAAATTATAGAAAGACATTCTACATAAATACAGGTCATGACTTGAACTAGAATGCAGAAATGAAAAATCATGTGGACTGATGGCAGAGGATTGACATCTAAGAAAAAGAGGCATTTTGGCAGAAAAGTTGCATTTAATTGCACCAGAAATATTTGGAAACGTTGTTCACAGTTTTTTGACTTGCATATGTTGGCTTGGAGAAGTAAAACAAATTAAAGATTATTAAATACATAAAAATGCACTGAGGAAACCAAAACTTCATTACAGGTTAAACATGTGTTTTTACTCTTATACCTTGGTTTTTGTGCTCTCAACTTGATGTAAATCCTCGAGCCCATGAAATAAATGTCCATCAGCTTCTGTCTTTTGAAAAGTAATTGAAAACAAAAGTATGAAGTAAAAAATTTTTATGCAAAATAATTATGTTTTGATAATATCGACATTTTACATATTTTCCACCTCTTTAAAAATGTGTGTATATAAATTCAGTAATCCCCAAATAACATGTTTAAAGCAAACAAACAAAAATACTTGTTACATATCCTATGTCAGTATCATCCAAGGTACTAACGATCCTTTGATGAATCAGACACAGCCACAGCTACGGTGAAGCTAATACATTTGTAGATGTCAAACAGAAAACAGTGGGCAAATGGTGGCTTCAACAGCTTTTAGTTTGCTTATTTTGTTTTGTTTTAAGCGTATTCAAGGCACGTCCCTTGGACGTATTAATTACATAAGATAGTAGACATTCTTTCTCACAGATGTCTTTCCCTATTTTACCCCTTAAATTTTAGTGTTCTACAGGTTTCCATTCTACACCTTCTTTAAATGATCTCATTACACTGCATTAAATTTTACTACTTTTCAAATGCTTTCAGAACCATCTCTCCAGGCAACATCTACCTTACAATGAAGAAAGTGTGTTGAGTCTTCCCAATACCTGTATGCCCTTTGCACAACTTCTTACTGGCAGTATCTGCAACTTTCTGTCTGATTGCTTTCTTTGATGGCAGGAGCATGCTAGGGACCTGCATGTAAATTAGGCCACAAGTGTGCTGACCTTGTTCCCAGGAAGCAGCTCCAATCAATGACAGACCAGAGTTGGTGGATAATCACTCTAGCCCCCTCACTTTTCAGTGGATCCACTCTGAAGCATGGTCTACAGGGTCTTTTATAGATACAAGTGGAAGGAAAAAAAGAAAAAAAAAAACAGTTACCCACACAGTTACCCAACTTGTGAATAGCACTTCCTGTGTTGGCTTACCTCTCCCTTTTTTTCTCCCTTCTCTATTACTCTACCAGTGCTTCCTAGGATTAACTTTCTTTTTTTTTTTTTTAGTTCGTGTCTTTTATTAACTCATACAGTTACTTGTCTTCTGGCTTGTTGAAGCAGTAAATCAGACAACATTTGCCACAATAATGTCTGTCAAAGTGGCTTGCCATAAACACCCCAGCACCACATTCATCAGATGGGCACTCTCGACGAAGGCGACTAATTTTGCCATTCTCATCCACCTTATAATATTTCAGGACAGCCAGCTTAACCTTCTTTCTCTTGTGCTTATTCTTCTTGGGAGTGGTGTAAGACTTCTTCTTCCTTTTCTTAGCACCACCACGAAGTCTCAACACAAGATGAAGAGTAGACTCCTTTTGAATATTGTAGTCAGACAAAGTACGTCCATCTTCCAGTTGCTTGCCAGCAAAGATCAGTCTTTGCTGATCAGGAGGAATTCCTTCCTTATCCTGGATCTTGGCCTTTACATTTTCTATCGTATCCGAGGGTTCAACCTCGAGGGTGATGGTCTTCCCCGTAAGGGTTTTCACGAAAATCTGCATTTTGGTGGCGGCTCCACCGCAGATGGCGGATTGGAAAGGAAAGCGGATTAACTTTCAAATAGACGATTTGTACTCAAATACAAGTCTTGACTTAATCATCCATCTATTGGGTCTTTATATCTGTATGTTCATAGACAACTGAAGTTTAACATGTGTGAAATCAAACTCACCTTTTTCAGATATATAACTCGGATATTCCTGATATCAACAAACAGTGCCAACATTCACCTTGGGAAACAAATGTTCAAGCACATTTTTAATTTTATTATTTCCCTTATCCTCTATGACCTGCCACAAAGCCTCTCTATTCTAACTTTTCAACATTTCCCAAATATGCCAATTTTTTACATTACCGTGTTCCATACTTTTGCGTAGGTTCTAATTGTGTGTTACCTGCATTGAAGCAATTGATCTTCACTGAAGTCTTATCTCCCTCAATCTTACGTAACCAGCAACAATTAATTTTATGTGTCAGCTTGACTGGGCCATGAGGTATCCAGACATTTGTGAAACACTATTCTTGATATATCTGTGAGGGTGTCTTTGGATGAGTAAGATTTGAAGTGGTAGACTGGGTAAAACAAAATGTCCTCTCTATGTTGATGCCCCTCATGTAATCGGATGTAAAGCCTTGATATGGTTTGGCTGTGTCCCTACCCAAATCTTGAATTGTAGCTCCCATTATTCCCACGTGTTATAGAAGGGACCTGGTGGGAGGTAAATGAATCATGGGTTGAATCATGGGGACGGGTGTTTCCTGTGCTGTTCTCGTGACAGTGAGTAAGTCTCACAAGATCTGATGGTTTCATAAAGGGCAGTTCCCCTGCACATGCTCTCTTCCCTGCCACCATAGAAAACGTGCCTTTGATCCTCCTTTGACTCCTGTCATGACTGTAAGGCCTCCACAGCCTCAGAAAACTGTGAAACTGTGAGTCTATTAAAACTCTTTTCCTTTATAAATTACCCAGTCTCAGGTATGTCTTCATCAGGAGGATGAAAGTAGACTAATACAAGCCTGAATAAAGCAGAAAGCCTGACGCTCTCACAAGTGAGAAGAAATACCTGCCACATTGCCTTGAGGCGGGTCTTCGTGCTGCTAACTATGGCCTCCATAATCACATGAGCCAATTCTTTTTCGTGTTTGGCTTTTTTTTTTTTTTTTGAGACAGGTTCTCACTCTGTCACCCAGACTGGAGTACAGTGGTGTAATCTCAGTTCACTGCAACTTCTGCCTCCCAGGTTCAAGAGATTCTTCTGCCTCAGCCTCCCAAGTAGCTGGGACTACAGGTACATGCTAGAACACCAGGCTAATTTTTGTATTTTTAGTAGAGACAGGGTTTCACCATATTGGCCAGGCTGGTCTCGAACTCCTGACCTTGTGATCTGTCCATCTCAGCCTCCCAGAGCTCTGGGATTACAGGTGTGAGCCACTGCTCCCAGCCTACATGAGCCAATTCTTAACAATAAATCTTTATCTATTTATCTATCTACGGCCTATTGATTCTGCTTCTCTGGAAAACCCTAATACACAGTCACTATATGCATACCCTGCCACCATGTTGGTTATTAAAAAAGAAAGGAAAAAAGAAAAGAAAGAAGAAAGGGTCACAGGAAGAAAAGAAGAAAGAGACTCTATATCATCAATCTGCTTAAAGGTAAAACAGTGACTATACATAGCTTTCCAGATAATATTCAAATTCCATGAGCGTCGCATGAAAATGTCTGCAATCTTTCTTCAATGAATATTTCAATCCTCATCCACTTGACATCACAATAATATTGAATGCTTTGTAATTCACAGAACTATTTGAGAACAAATTTTGCTCTCAAATAGTTTATCTTTAGTGCCTAAAATATGTTCCCATAATCTCCTTCTTTAGGCTAACTCATTAATCAATATTCAATTCTAATGCAACCTAATCCAGCATATCTTCACTGCTCCACTTCAACCCCCAAATCTGTCTTAGTGCGCTTTCTATCTGTTCCCATTTTGTACCATGTGCTAAACACTGAACTAAATGTTGGGGGAGATATGAAGACTAAAATATCGTTTCTGCTTCCAAGGAACCTACAGTCTAGCATAGCCTGACACACAAATTTAAGAAATTTATTTGAAATGAGTAGAAGAAAAAAGTGACAGAAAAGTACAAAATGTCATGATTTCTTCCAACATAAATCCAGAAATTTTAAACTGGAAAAAAAGTGATTCGGAATTACAACTCAACATTTGTGTTCTCTCATTAGTTGTTTATTCATGTAAAATATAAGCCACTAATTAATTATGTTTCTGTTTTCAGCTTCCTCCTTAAAAGCAAAAAAAGAAAAAAAACTTTCAATATGTTACTGATATATTATTAAAATTCTGAAAAATAAATTATTTAAACTTAAAAATCATAGTATAAGTTCTATATTGTATAAGTTCTATAAGTATAATTTCTATATTGATTATTGAAGATTGTTAGGAATACAGATAAGAATTGCAAGTTTATCTCTGAATTACTTTAAAGGAGAGAAATTTACTTTCTGGTTCATGGTTAATTAAAATTTTAAAAGAGAGAAAATAAAATAATAGACCATTAAAAATGGCACTATATTAAGTAAATATAAGGCAGGTTAAAAATAAAAACACAATATCTCCAAACTATAGAAGGAAAGGTTGGCAAATGAAATACGTGTGTAGTACTATGGAGGAACCAATTGATGTAACTGAAATTGCTATTTCTCATGTTTCTAAACCTCAAATAGGAGTTGACCTTGTGCTTGCAATAGTCTGTCCCTGTCTTCCATTTGAGTTAATGAAGATCTGTATAAATTTGCCAACATGAACTGGAGCTTAAAGCCCTGGTGTAATTAGTTGATGTATTAATTTGCCAGCTAGGCTTGAATTGAACATTACTATGGTGGATTATCATGCCAAACCCTTACAGTAAAAGCCCTAAAGGAGGTAAAGAATATAGGTCATTTCCAGTTTCAAACCACTGACTGAAAATTTAACACAGACAACAAACAATTTTCTATGAGGAGAGTAAATCTTTTTTACCAACAGAAGATTCAGCATCTAACCGCATAAACAAATATGTTTAAAGAATTACAAGTCAGCATCTTCGTTACTATCATAGAAACAAAAGAAAAAAATGCAAATATTAAAACTACCCCACAACAATTTAATTCAAACATTCAATGTGTTACTGATGTATTATTAAAATTCCGTTTAGCTAAATATTAAATCTACAAAAAGGGAGTGCGTGAACTGCATTTGATTTATGTTTCATCTTAATGTTTGTATCTTCTTATAATGAAAGTATTATTCTATGTAGATCAGAAATAATAAATATGGCCATTAACATTACAAACCATAATTTCCTTAGATACAGGCAAGTCATCAATAAACTCACTGTAAACTTGAAACATGAATTACAAACCATAAACACAACTTGGAAAGTACCTTTAGGAGTGAACTTCATAGAAAAAGAGATGAGAAATGCATTAATCTATTCCTTATTGTCTTTCTAATTTGCCGCTACATCTTCAGCACCCACTTTAATTCTATTCATGCCTATATGATCATATAGGCATGAATAGAATAGTGCTTCAGACACAGTAGGCACTCATTACATATTTTGAAAAGAATATTTAAGTGAACAAAGTTATAGAGTCCCAGCACTGTTTATAAGAAGCTAATACAATGATACAATTGTGTATTAAATACAGACAGGTGATCCTATAAATGGGTTGTCTAAATTCATTGCCAAAAAAAATTAAGTGTTCTATTTCAGGCTGTCTAATTAGTATACACACCTGGGAAACATACAGTCAAAACTTATCATACTGGACTGACAAAACTAAATAGGAAAACATTCTTACCACCTCACCCCAATCCATCAAACCAAAGACAAAGAACAAAGTAACTGGAAAAGAATAAACAACTGAATAGTTTTCTAGTCAAAGTTTACTAATGGTGTGAAAATCTATTAATAAAGACATGTAAGATATCCATAATAATCAGCTTCAACAAGCCTGTTGATTTTTTCAATTTGGATTAAATTGCTTCCCATTGAGACTGTCGCCTGGGGACCCTATTTGAGTTCATAATTCTCACAGGATTCTTACCCTCTTATTTAAGAACAAACAAATTTTGCTTGCAAATAGTCATTTAATTTACAGAGGATTGTGATATCTAGGAAAAGTTGTAACACTTAAGTAATCCAGCACCTTGTTACATAAATGCTGTTCTAACCCGCAGTTTGCCAAACCATGAGACTGTAGAACCAAATCATGATTTTGTTCATTCCCTATATCTAAATGTCTTATGGTTTTATTTTTCTCAGCTTCTGCATCTATAAGCTGTATCTGCCTGGTGCTAACTTAGGTACAAGGCTCAATCTTGGCTAGATTTACAGAAATAAATCCCCTAACACCAAAAATTTCAGAAATTTCATATGTTACTAATGACTTGAGGAAATATGGCAGGATGTGAGGTAGGCAATTGCATAGTTTTTCATTGTTACACTGATTCTGTATCCCTTTCTCTTTTCCTCCATTTTCTTACTATCATTACTTGTGGCAAATAAGTTCTTGTCCTTATACATAAATTTTACTGAAGTCAAAGGCAGAAGTCATTTTTGTAGACATTTTTCTCATACCAAGAAATAGGAGTATGTCATAGTTATTTTCAATTTACCATCTCTTCACCCCAAATCTTTTCCCAAATATTTATTTTGCTCATTTCTCTTTGTCTTCTTCTGGTATTCCCATTACACATATGTTACACCTTTTATAGTTGCCCCAAAGGTCTTGGATATTCTGTTTCTTTTCATCTATTGACATATACTCAAGTTCAGAGATTCTTTCCTCAGCCATAGTCAGTCTAAGAAATTAGCCATTTCTGTTAGTATTTTGATCTCTATCATTTTCCTTTTATTCATTCTTAGAATTTCTATCCCTGTTTATTGTATCCATCTGTTTCACATATTGTCTCTTTTTTTTCTTTAGAATATTTTTCATATCAGTCATAGTTGTTTTAAATTCCTGGTCTGATATT